TATATATATAAAACATTTAAACTATCCCTTTTGGTAAATTTAATGCATCCTTGAGGAATTAAAAATAATACTAATTTCTTTCAAAAAAAAAAAAAACCTTACTGAGCATAAAATAAATAAATAAATCACTACTCAAATATGTTATGTGCTATTGAATTAATGCATATATAATTTTCCAAACTTATCTATGAATATAACACAATATCACATTTTTATGTAAAATGTTTTTAAATGATCGACATTACCTCTCCCAATGCTTCATATCTTTTCTGGTTCCATCTATGCAGGTCCTCTTTATAGTTGAAGACAAATGGCTCCCCTGTGTGTATGTGTCTCAACTGACCATCTGCAGAAAAGAAAAATAAATACACAACTATACAATTTTGTAATGAAATCATAAAAAGTGATGTCTTTAAAAGCTTCAGAATACCTACATTTGGTTTGTGTAGGAGGTCTTCCATAGACAAACAGTTTGTAACTCATTAAGAAAGACAGCCCACATCTATTCTGCTATCTGCATTTCCTGCTTGGGTCTGAGACCATACTCTATTCATTTTATTACCTAAAACCTCCCTATAACATTTCTTTCACAGTTTTACTTCAACTGCAGACGAAGGGAATATTAAGGACAATATTAGTGCAGAGTATCTTGAAGTGGAGTGTGAGGGATGGCATGAAGCCAAAGCCTTTGTGAGCCAACAAGACATGAATGTTTTCCAACATAAAAGTAAGATGTCTTTGATTGGCCATCACACACACGAAAGCCTTGTTGTTTTCACAGCAAGGGCACAACATTGGCAGGCTTGAACTCAAGTGAATCACTCTTTACCTTCACATTCTCCAACCATTTTGCACCTGCAGTTTGAGAAGCATCAAACACCTCAGCCAATCCTATTCTCAATGAGTAGTAACTTGGGATCCAATGAAACACTTTTGCATTGACTGAAAGCCTTAGTATATGAGGCCTTGAGGGCTGTCCAAAGTCCACACAAAGCCTGCAAAAGTCATTCTACGTGTAAGGCTGCGACCTTCAGTTCAGAACCTCAGGTCTGCTTGATGTGCATCATTCCCCTTCATGCAATTAAATACGTTTGGCTGGCATCCCCCCATCTGGCAGGTACAAGCCCTGCGAACGGCTAACCCTTCTCCTGTCCCCCTTACTTTGGCCTTCTGGGACATCTGGCAGGCCTTCCTCAGACAGCTGGTGCTGCAATAGCGGTCTCTCCGCCACTGTACCTCAAGCCACCAGAGATCTGAGAGCGTCCATGTGCGTGAGTGTGGCTGGACCACTGCAACTGTTCCCTCCTATGAGCATCCTTTGAGGGGCTCGTTTGAGAGCGGGCCAGCCGACTTCATTCAAAGTGACCCACTTGAATGCCACTGTTCTGCCAAGGCTGGACAATGAGGCCTGGCTTTTGCCAAGTACTGATACTGCTAAACAGCTGCTGAGGTGGATGAGGTAAACAACACCAGGCTTGGTTAGGACTAATGGTGTTTCAGGGGAAGGGCTGAATGACTGGCATATATGCCATCTACTTTTTGGACAAATTTTTTTGTTTGTTTGTTTTTTACTATACTATATTGTAGTGCTGAGAAATGTCATTCATCCAGCTCAACCATACAACCTGGTTACCCAAATTATTCTAATTAAAAAAAGAACTCTCTTTCATTTATGGACTACATAAGTCTATCAACAACCATAAACTGACATTTGGTCCCAAACTAGCTAGTTAGCCCCTAGTGAGTAGGAGCCAGACTTGAAACATTGTTACCCACTGTTACTTTTTAATATTTAAAATATGTAAAAAAATATTTTATAATATTATTATACAAAGTATTTATTAACTGCATGTTATTTAATTGTATATATTGTATATTCATGCTTATATTTTATTGCATATTATTAAATGGTATTAAAAGTTACACGGTACTAAAATGTTTTTTTGGGTACTATGAGAATACCACTTTTTGAACATGCTTTGATATTCTTGAATTACTGTTCAAGAAATTGGGTCATAAGCCTTTTTTTTTTAAAGAAAAAAAACTGTTATAAGTTTACCAAGGCTGCATGTATGCATGTATTTATGTATTTATTTATTTTTTTGTTTATCTATGTATCCATCCATCCAAAAATACAGTAAAACAGTAATATTGTAAAATATTCTAACATTTTAAAAGGATGTTTTCACTATTTTAATTTATTTTAAAATATAATTTATTCCTGTGATGAATTTTCAGCATCTTCAGTGTCACATTATTCTTCAAAAGTCATTCTAATATGCTGAGTTGATGATTTGGTTATTATTATCCATGTTAAAAACAACTGTGCTGCTTTTTTTGTGGGAAACCATGATACATGTTACATGATTAGTTGATTAACAGAAAGTTCAAAAGAACAGCATTTAATTGAAATTTAAATCTTTTGTAACAATAATGTATTTACACTTTTTATCAACTTAATGCATCCTTGCAGAGTAAAAGTATTCATTTACTTAAAAGTAAAGAAAAGAAAACTTACATACTCCAAACTTATGAATGGTACTGTATATTAGATATATGGTATATTGTACCACCCAATATCATCACTGCACCAGTACCACAAAATATATATATATATATTTTTTGTAAGGAATTAGAGGGCACCAAACATTCCTAGTAATACAATTATATTCCACCAAACAATACAACACTGAATAACATAAACATAGAGAGTGGTTGCTAACATTTCTGAAAGGATTTTTAAGAAAGATAGGCCCATCTATTTTACTGTTGACACAGAGGCATAATGAAGCCTAAAACCAGTGTTAAATCTAACAGTGACCTCTCTGATTGCCAATGCATGAAGTTAAAATATTCAAAGCATACACACTTAACCAAAATAGCCTTGGGGCATCATACGTTTGCAATTACCCTAGCGCATGGCTCCACAAAAAGAAAAACAGCTTTGAAAATAAAAGATTGCATAAGCACTTTCATTCCCCTCATTCTCAAAGCTCCGGCACTTTTTTGCACAGTTAGCAGGCGATAAATCCAACATGGCTAACTTGGAGAGTATTACACTATACGCTTTCATCGTTAGCTGCTCAACAACATGTACCACTAAAAGGCCGTATATCAACAATGAACTCTGAAAGCATGGCCGCTCCTTTGAGATAGGATGGGAAAGAGTGCTAGAGAAAGTGAGTCAGTGGAAGGAAAGAGAGCGAGAGAGAGGGAGTGAGAGACGTAGCATGCGCTAGTACCTTTAAAAATCAATTATGCATTCACAAAGGGGTGAAGAGAAACACTACAACCAGAAGTGCCTAACAGAAGGAAGAGGGGATCTAATGAAACCAACATGCAGTGGAAGTTCAGCTCCATCGTCTTCATAACACAGGCTCTCTGAGGAATACCCCCCTTCAACTTATTCTCCCTGCTTTAACCTGGCATAATTAGCATGCTTTCTCGATTTTTAGCTTAATGAGGTATACATAACCTTGGATTTCCAGTAATGAACGAGCTGAAGGCAGACTGGGATGAAGTCATCATGCCACATGATTTGTAAAAAAAAAAAATTATTATTTTTTTTTTTTTAAACATGGCAAATGACATATCCTCGCCTTAAAATTATTATTTTCTGGTCTTAACCTTCTCAACTGTATTCAACAATCAAAATCATAATGTCAGAATTTTGATATTTGTGAAGCTCTACTTCTCAACCCTGTTACCAAAGTTAATGAAATTAAATTATTAAAATTAAACTAATATTTTACTTTCATTTATGGTAAATATTTATCAATAACCACAAAACAACTACCGCTAGTGAATGAAAACTTCATTTAGGCAAAAACTGAAAGTAATCTTATTTAAATTTACTTATAAATCTTATACATAATTACATAATTAATAATTTAATTGTAAAAAATCGAATTTTTGATGTTTGTTTAATAATTATCACATCACTCAAATCAAGGTTTGAAACTATATTTACATGTCCAATTGGTATTTGTCTCATATAATATTCACTTTAACCAATAATATTTTCTAAAGGCTATGCACCCATTAATTGACTTTTATATCCAATTTGAATGATTATTGCTAGAAAATAACATCACTCAAATCAAGGACTTAAACTATATTTATGCATTTACATAAATCTGCCTTTGGCTCATATAATGTTTAGTTTAACGATTAACATTTTCTAAATGCGCTGCACCCCGTTGGTTGACTTTAGACCCTATTCTGTATTCTATTTGAGCAAATCGACATAAACCCTACATTAAAAAATGAATGTTCAAGACTATACTTTGGCTCAATAGCCATTTTACATTCATCTCAGAGAGTGAGAAAAGAATTTACAAAGTGAAACTTTCTTATAAAATCGAATAAAAGTGATACTCTTCACTGGGAGACTGATATAAGGTATTCCAGACGCTAACAGGAGGCGTTTTAGAGAGAGGAGCAAGGTTATGCAAATCTAGCCGTCAAACAGAGCACAAGGCTGAGTAAGCCACTGACAGCCCATAGCATGCACAACTTGTCCATTCAGCTGCCACAGACTCCAGAGACTCTGAAACAGACAGCGCTATCACAGCCTGCTGCCTGCTGTCAATATCCAATGAAACCCTCCGCACACTTCTAATGCATTCAGACCTTCATAACCACAGACAAGGTACGAAATCATGTTATTAAAGTACAAGGCCAAACGCTATTTGATGGTCTAGCTGGCATGTATGTCATAGAGTGAAATAGTTTACTGTGTCTAAAAATGTTTAGAGTAAAGACAAGCAAAAGGTCTTACGTTCATTGAAGGCATATTCAAACCCATCCAGAGTTTCAGGAAAGTTCAGTGGAGGCTCGTCTTTTTTCATCAGCTCGTCTAAATCGATCCTGGACAATAAATCTAGAAAACAAATTAATATACAAACAATCAAATAAATAAATACTCAATAAGCACACAAAACACCCCCATAATTTAATTTGAATTTATATTTTTATACATATGCATGTATTCACGCACAATGTGGCTTTACCTTTTAGTGCAGTGGTTTTTTCTTTTTCTTCTTGTGCCAAGAGCTGGGCCATAGTTATCCGAACTAAACAGAAGAGGAAGATGCTGGCTCTGATAGGCATGGACACACCGCTACAGAAATATTACTGCACGTCGCTCTGATCAAAAATAAATAAAAATTACTAAACAACAAGCTTCTAATGCTATGACCTTTATTGTCACACAACACAATCAAAAAACTTTTGCCTTGCCTGTAAATTCATTACTATGTATGAACGCATATAATGCATTATAGACATTTCTATTCATGCATTATAGAAATTATGTAATATTAACAGTAACTATAAAACAGTCCAATTATAAAGCAGTAATAATATAATAAATATTTCAAACATTAGACTGATTGTCAAACTGCTGCAGAGGTGTTACAAATCGTTAAAATAACATAATAAATAGTTTTTAAACAACTTTTGTAATTAAATTACAAAACATTAAAACATGATTACAACATATTATAAAACATATTATGCTTAATATATATCTGTTAAATCATGTGTCAATAATATTAATAGTGTCAATAATAATCATAATAATGTTTGGGACAATGTACACTTGTTCTGTGACAGACAGCTGACCAAAAATATAATAACGTATTTAATAATAGGTAGCTACATGTAATTTTGAGTAGTGCAAATTATCAATAATAATAATTTGATTATATACTGACTTTTAAAATTACATAAATAGTGACAGTGAATGTGTTGACTTGGGCAACGTAGCTTCTAGAGTTTCTAGCTTCTAATGCTACGGCTCTGACTTTAATGCTGAGTTCTGTTCGTGTGTAAGCAGTAAAAGTTGAGTTCTGTTCGTGTGTACACAGTAAAAGTCGTTGTGTTGAATCTAATCGTAGTTTACTTCCAGTGCACTTTGATCTGACAGGTCAGCCTGTCTTTATGGTGGTAACTAGCATTAAGCTAACAGCTTGATTCAGCTCTAAAACCAAGCGTGCAGAATTGAGAGACTCACATGCACCTGAATCGCAGTGTCTGCGTTTAGAGAAACACAGTAAAAGCAGCGATCTGCTGTTTTCGACATGATCGGAGCATGTAAACATAGTAAAAGATTCCCTGCGTGGACCCCAGCCAATGTGTATAAAGCACTACTCATCAGACAGATGGGACAATAACTTCACAAAGCACAGCTATTTCAAGCAGCGAAACTGATCACCGTGCAGAAGAGCTAGATGAAGACAGTGGGAGAGGTAAATATGGATTTGCATGCATGTCGCTCCGCTCACGTACCATAACAACAAGCACATGTGAGATTTCACACATCCTGCTTCCTCCTTCTGCCAAACAGGAAGACACGCTTCCGTCTCCTCGGAAACGGAAGCGTTTTACACACGCTCCAGCTGATTGGCGGGATTTAAACAGACAGCGCCGCTTTTCACTCAAACACAGAAGAGCTGCCATTGCACACACGCACACACACACACACACACGTTTTCATTGCAATAATACTTAATAAGCTTCAGTTGACGATGTTTTTTATATACCTTGTTTTTTTTGTACGATGCATGTTCAAATACAGTTTAAATCTCCTGAATGAGTGAATCAATGAATAATCAGACGCATTTAGTGTATGTTCTTTCATTGCAATAATACTTAATAAGCTTCAGTTGACGATGTTTTTTATATACCTTGTTTTTTTGTACGATGCATGTTCAAATACAGTTTAAATCTCCTGAATGAGTGAATCAATGAATAATCAGACGCATTTAGTGTATGTTTCAGTGTAAATGAACTGCAGATTTAAACTAAAATAGTAATAAATAAAAATAAATATAATAACACATACATTTATAAACTCCACATGAGGATTTTGCTTTCTTTTTTTTTTATCATTTGTTCGGCAACACTCAATTTATCTTGACGTACTAAAATAACTAGAACTGAAAATGAATAAAAACTATATAGCCATTAAAAAATAGGAAAATTGTCAGAAACACAACAACATTACTAAAACAACTATAACAACTTTTAGTTTTAAAAACGAGATATAAAAAAAGCCAATTCAAAATATGAATAAATACTAAAAATAGTATCTCAATGATAGTAAAATAACAATGGTTGACATTTATGAACTTGTTTACTTATTTTTTTTATTTTTGGACCTGTGATACAACAGTTAAACCTTTCTGCATGAAAAATCACCACTACTGGACTTCTCATTTAACAGTCCACAAGGTTTCCAGGATTAATTAAGAGTTGTTAAGCATCTCTTTCCAGTAATCATATGTTATGCATATATTATTTTATGCATGCATTGTTTTTATTATTATTCTATATTCACTGACTGACTGAAACCAAAGAGTACCTTCTGTATTTACTATTTTCCCCTTCCAGCAAGTAACTCTCCAAAATCTATTTCCTCATAACTGTTATATTATCATTTGTTCAACAGATCAGTGGAGTACAGTTTTCAGTTTAGCATCCATCCAATACAGAGTGGAGTCATATTTCATCAAAACCTTGTGATTTTATTAGAGTTCACGATGTTTTTTTGTTTATTACTCATCTGCAACTGTAATTTCACATCCACAGCACATCAGTGTTAACAATCTTCTTAGCAGCCACACACACTTTTTACACTGGCCATTTGGTTTTCCTGTTAAATAGTCACTGGGCCTTTGCTAAGTTTCTTGGCTTTTGTCGAAGTATGTTTTCTTTAACTGATCCACTAAAATCTTCTCTTCGTCCTCTAGTGCAGCATCATCCTGCATCTCCCACCTGCATTTCACAAACACAGAAAACAGAAATGTGTGTTAGGCCAGCTCTTAAAAACAGGTAAAACACAGATCTTCCTTGAGAATAAAACTTCTTTACAATTTCACAATAAATCTGTTTGTGGGCGATAGAGAGTATACAAAGATGTAAAAAATAGCAACATTACATTAGCATTGTATCAGCCTCAAAAAGCACAGCCAGTGTCCGCTTACCGCATATCTGATGCATATTACAGTGCCTTGCGAAAGTATTCATACCCCTTCATTTTTTTTCACGTTTTGTTATGTTGCTGCCTTATGTTAAACTGCTTTAAATAACTTTTTTTCCACATCAATCTACACTCCATACACCATAATGGTAAAGCAAAAAACTGGTTTTTAACATTCAACATAAAAAACTTAAATGATTCCATTGCATAAGTATTCATACCTGGGACAGCTGAAATTTAGCTCAGGAGCATTCATATTGCTTGTAGATATTACTACACTTCAAGTGAAGTTAACCTGTGGCAAATTCAATTGAATGGGTATGATTTGGAAAGGCACACGTCTTAATAATAGGTCTAACAGCTAATAATGCATATCAGAGCAAAAACCTTCAGTGAAGACACATGAAAACACACTTAGAATTTGCAAAAAAAGCACCTAAAGGACCCCCAGACTATGAGAAACAAGAGTCTCTGGACTGATGAACCTCAATTCCAAGCATCATGTTTGAAGGAAACCAGCTCTGCTCATCCCCTGAAGAG